TGCTCCTGAAGTGAGATAGATTTGTTATTCATTCAAAAATTTTTGGCATAGGGATGGAGTTTGGGAGGCATATTTGGGATGAAGAATGGAAAGGAAATAGGAACTTGACAATTGGAGTATGGAAGGGATAGCGTCTTTAAGACAAATGATACCACACTCATTGACAGCGAATTACAAACGTAAGGCAATACCTGTGTACATAGCCAACCCAAAGGTATTTTATAAAAAAAAAAAATTAAACATTGGCATTCATAGATTAATTTTCAAAAGTTTTGAGCTCCTATCTCATGATCCTGCATCTACTCTGACAGTATCCTCGCCATCCTCCTCCTTCTCTTCAACTAAGGCGGCGTCAGCAGCTGCAGGAAAATGCAAATGTTTCCAGTCCTCCAACTCTTCAATAAGTGATCTCAGTCGATCCCTAATACTTTCAATAGCATAGCTCCCCAACAATAGCCTTAATGGGGGGTACGAGCAATGTCCCAACTGCCAAACCAATTCGGCACACTTCACGGCACTAGTAGGCTGCTTGTCTCCCAGCCATGTTACCATCCTCTTCGCATGTAAGGCCGGACTCGAAGGATGGGAATATGGCTCGCTTGGCGGTTTGATCAGAAAGTGCCCCCAAGTAGGTAGCGGACTTGATGCCCAGTCCGGCTCGTCTCTCCTCACAAGCCCTGGCTCAACCAGCGTAGCTTTAATATTAAAGCTATCAATTTCATACAACATCGCTTCAATGAGTCCTTCAACAGCATACTTAGTAGCACAATATGGGCCTAATCCCGGAACGCCGAGCGCGCCAGATGTTGAGCTAAAAATGATATACCGTCCCGCGCCCTGCTCCCGAAAATACGGCAATGAAAGCTGGATCATATGCAACGTGCCCATGAAGTTAGTCTCGAACTGATTCCTGACCTCGTGCTCGTCTTGGTCCTCGCAGGCGCCGATAACGCCGTATCCAGAACAGTTGGCGATGACGTCGATGCGGCCGAACTTCTTTTGCGCCTGAGCGATCACCTCGCCCACGGATTCCCGGGCGCGCACGTCGCAGAGAGCGCCGAAGCAGTTCTCGTGCCAATTCTGCATGGACGAAAGGCTGTTCTCGAAAGTCCGACCCACCGCGACGACGAGGTCGCCCTGTGCGAGGCAGAAGCGAACGAGGGAGCGGCCCATGTGGCCTGTGCTGCCAAAGATCTTTCATCGTTAGAATACGGATAGGAACAAATTAAAGTCACCAGATCTAGACTCACAACCCACACAAGCTGCTTTGGAGGATTCCCCGGACCAGGAGGATCTACACTCGTTGGTAGCTGGAGCTTTGCCTTGCTGCTGCCCTCAGGCGACTTTGGCGTCCCATTTTGGGTCGATTCATCGTGCCCTCCCCCTAGAACGTCCATCACATTTTTTCAAAGCAATTCAGCTGCCCTGAGTTCTGATCCATCATACGTGACGTTGAAGTTGTGAGCCTCGTTGCAAAGGCTAAAATGTGGAGTGCGGGGGCGCGGGAAGCTTGTTCCGGGAGCTAAGGCAGGGGGCTAAATTTGGAGCCGGAATGCAGTTGGAGTTGTCCCTGTCGTGTAACGCGCATTTGTAATTGATATAGACGAGATGTCTGAAGACTTTTGTTAGAGTGGCACCCCGCAGCATCGCTGGTAATTTTTATCGTATCCATAATAGTTATGCATTGGAAATCTTATCTGAAGTCAAGATTTATGTATTATGCTGGCAGAGATGTGTTATGAGGGCAGAGATAGGATGAGTGGGATGAGTATGGTGCATTGGAAAATAAACTAATACGGCACATATAGAGTTTTCGTGATTGATCAGTGATAGAAATAACGCTTGAGTTTTGTGTAGCTCATCCGATCATAATTTCGTTCTTTAACCCCACGCGTACACCTTCTAGACCGCTAGGTGAGATGCTAGGTATTCCTTCCGGTATGGGTTGACATCGACCTCGGGACCACGATTCAGAGGTGTCCACTTTGGCTCCTCCTTGAAAAGTCTCATGGCTACAATGTACTATAATCAATCAGTGTCTGGAGTCTCCACGCTCTAAATCAGACCTACGTTTGTGTTATCAGTTGTGAATCGGTGATAGATACCAGCAGGCAGAATCTGTGATTCAATTAGAGGATAGCCTTCCAAAATCCTCAGAAAAACCTACGATCAAGTCATCCTTCTCCAACTGAATCCGCACCCACTCATCACTCTCACTGCGCACATCAAAGAACCCCGTGCCATCTCTGATATACCGGATCTCTTCATCTTCGTGCAGGTGCTCATGGAAGAAGCTCTTCACCTTTTCCTCGTAGATGTCTCCCATCTTCTCGGGCGAGACTGTGATAACGTCGCGATTCTTGTAACTGCGCTCCTTGGCAAGGGCGTCGACATCATTCTCGTCTGTGATGCGGTAATAGAGGACGCCGAGCTTGGCTAGATAGTCGACGGGAACATCGCGACCGGAATCGTGAAGCTCGCGCTGGTCAACGCCCTGATGCTGGTCAGCTCATAGTGATGGCGGGGCTCAGGCATAGAGGGGTCGCACAGCTTCGTTGTCGAACCAGTAGGCTCTCATTTTGACTGCTATCGAGTTTGAGTGTATCAAAAGAAAATAAATATAGATTTTAGAATACAATAGCTGCTAGGGCTGAAGACGGGATCCGGTCGTAAAGATTGTAGTTTAGTGGTTGTCAAGATGATTTGAGTGCAGCTTCAAATTTCGTCATTCGGCAAGATTTTAAGTACCCGAAATGTGGAACCGTTATACCATAATTCTCTCCTGTACTTATTCGCTCACAACTTCTGATTAGCACAGCATCAGAAAGTGAGCGCAGGAAGACATGCTATACTACACGCATCTCTCGTATTATAACTATAAATCTACCAAGTGTATCTCCTCAAATTGGGATGTGCTACAGTGAAGAGCTGGATAATCACAGCTCTGCCAAGATCTTATCCGGCTTGGCGATTGGCTTACTTAGACCGTACGGATGTACTTTTGGGCAAGCTCCTTCAACCTCATTTTCATGACACTTCACTGCCTCACCAGAATCTTTTATTTTAAGAGAATAAGTTTGCCGCGATGTTTTAGCATCCTTGAAGCCCCTAAGATCTGTAGTCAATACCTTGTTGAATGAACAACTTAACCTGTGTATCACATATGGCAGGTTGTGTGCCCCATTTTCCCACATTAAGAAACCGGCTAGACCCACCTTTTGTTGATTTATCTCCTCCATTGTCCTTTGTAATTAGAACGCTTACTTGTCTATATAAAAATAATATGACACACTTCGACTTTCTAGACAAATAGTAATCTATTTCAGGTCAATGGGTTTTGTCTCTTCGAACTATCCATGATTCTCTCTACTATGTCTTTGTAAGTCTGGTAATAAGAACAAAGATGTCGAAATAGAAATATTACGCTAAGCGACCAATGGATTCCTGAGGAATCCCGAGCGAAAGATGTTGTCTTGTTTTATCGTGTAGCATAAAGAAAGACATACAATGCCCTTTTTGAATTTCGTGCAAGATCTTGGTTTGTCCGAGGTCTGGTATATATACAGGTCACAATTTCTCATGGATGAGCAATCAATTATATGTAACAGAAATAAATCGATCTACTACGTTCTGCAACTTATATCTGAGTCGAAGTATATCTAGAAAATAATACTTGCGCAATCGCAACAACATCAAGCTTAAATTCTCCAGTTAAAAACAAAGGAAAATGACGAAAACAAATCTCGAGCAGTGTGTCACAGAATTTAGTATCATGCCAAGGGGCTATATCTTCGTCCCAAAAGGCCAGGCTTTCATAACAGGGCACTGTCGTAGAAAGACCCTCGAAATCAATAAGACAGTCTACACCGTCCGCTCGAAGCCGAATGGTGGAGGACGGGTCCTCGGTATCCGCGTCCCACACTTCATCTTCGGCACTGTCTGCGCCATGGAAGCCCTAACGCGAGCGGACCGGCAGTTGGCGGTCAAGAAAGCGGACAGCAAGCTCAAGAAGTCGTTTGCAGAGGCTGTGGTAAGCATGTATCCCCAAGTACCTGAAAGCGAGATTCCAAGGATTGTCGACAGGGCGACAAAGAAGCACAGTAAGCGTGTAGGTAGAACGGGGAAGTTGGATGTGGACACCAGGGCTAAATTAGCGGTCAGAGCGCACATCAGACATGTGTATACGTCGTATGATAAGCTTTTAAGAGACGGCATAGAATGGGAAGAGGCGAGAGAGAAGACGCTGGCGCGCATTGGTGAGGTTGCCATGTTGTGGGGCGAGCAGCCAACAACGTTCGAGAAAGGAGTGAAAGACAGGGCGGAGAGGAAGAGGCAGCTACTTTCCGAGGAATTGATGAGAAGGAGAGATAAGATTAGACAGAGGCTTGACGGCCACGCTACTACAGCTGGAAATTATGAGAGGACAAGGGACGGTGAAAGAGGGGAGATTTATGATTCTGATAAGTCTGATGGCCATCCGTCTGATGATCAAATGGATCTAGACTGATTCTTGAGAGTTAGGGTAGTCCGACGATGCATGATAGCTTGTATTAACTTAGCATTCATAGAGCTGTGCTTCCGATAGGTAATATAATGAACTCAGAAGAGCTATTGTTTACATTTGCGTTTCCAAAATAATGTGACGTCTTGTGAATGGTACTACTAAGGTAAAAAAAAGGGGGTCTTGCTTTATTTATTCTATACTGTAAGGCATTATGTATAGAATATTCCTTAATGGTTGAAGGTTTTAAGGAATCAAATCAGTCTCCGTCTAGTTGTGGTTGCTCCTTGGTATAGGGAGAAATACTTAGTGAAGCGACTATAATGATACCAGAGTTTCGAAGGTCTGACATACTATATGATGGTAATAGAAAGAAAGAAAGTGAAGTTAAAAACAGCGTGGACTTGATAGGGGAAAAAAATTCAATAGCTCACATGCTTGCTCATAAGAGAATGGGAGAGAGCAACACAAAAGAAATTCGCTAGAAGACTCTAACTGATGTCCACTTATAGGAATCGAACCTATGTTTCCGGTGAAAAGATTTCTCCCGAAGGAAACCGGTGTGATACCACTACACTAAAGCGGCTGGGCAGTCTTATGATCTTGAAACTGTGCTAATTTGAACTGATAGGTGCACTAAAGATCAATGTAAGTAGATTGCGCAGAAAAGAATTGTGGCGGTGCAGTGCTGCATTGTTGCCTGGTCTGCCAAGCATTTCTTTGTTTGGCATAAGGAACTGAGGTTCAACCATATGTTCCTGTGTATATGTACACTAACCAAGAGATAAGAGCTGCGATATGAGCATCATATGGCTGGCGGTATAGGCGGTACTTGTTTTGCTCTTAGTCGCGTTGCATAGCTCCTGTGCCAAGCCGCGTGCCAAAGCTCTCTATGTATATCGAGCTGGGATGATCACAATCATTCTCCGTCTGGTCTCCATTGGAATATTTTATGGCCTCATAACTTCTGTTCCCAACAAAGTTCAGTCCCAGTCATCATCATCCTCGTTGCTCTCTTCTTGATTCGCCTTTTTCACACCAAACCGAACCCCTGCATCATCAATAGCTTTCGCTCTTTGAACTACTCCAGAACTCAGAAGTCTTGCCTCCAAATCCTGAGTTGTGAAGGTGTCTTGTGTATAGCCTAGACCTTCAAATCCAATGATCCGGTCAACGCTCACACCATTCACAAAAGCGATAACACAAGGCAGTACCTGAACCTTGAGCTTTGTGACAAGAAATGGAGCATTATCAACATTCATCTTGAGAAATCTCGTGTCAAAATGCTTCTTCGCTAGGCTCTATCAGAGTCAGCCATATTTCTTTCAACTTCATTGAGGTTCTCACCTCCAAATGGACATCCATAGTTCCACATCTAGCAAAATCATCCTTGGCAAAATGCACTACAGCATATTTAACCTCAGTGGTTAGTTCCATGAGAGCCTTCTCTTCTTTGATCTCTGTGTAGTTCCCAAAGCCTTGATTCTTTTGAGTTTTTGCACGTGAGAGTTCTTCATGTAGCTGCTGGATTCTCTGTTCCCGGAAAGCATCCATGGCAGGAGAATCTTCCAATGAAGCGATCAAGGCATCTTCATCGTCAGAATGCGACGTATCAAGTATAGATGCTACGTGAGAGTCAAGATTGGCCATGATATCTTCTTGTGGACGTTTGGGATTGAAATGAATATCTGAGGAGGGTACACACGGCAGTTCTTCGAATTGAAGTTGGACGTGTTTTGGTGTGATCTCAAAACCTTACAGGGTCGATAAAAACACCCGAAATTGTCTAATCATACATGGTGAATCAGAATTTAACTACAAAAGGTAACATATTTAAGCCAGAAAAAATGGTTATATAGATGGTCCGTACTAAGGTAGCCTTCGGGCCGCATATTTTTACCTTTCTTCAATAATTTACCCACAATTACGAGTGGTACAAACATCACTCATAGACTGGGTTTTGAAGCAAAGAGTTGGCCGCATGTGAAGTGAATCTCGTGTTGGTTGCAATCCCTGTCGCTTTCACCCAAAATAGGTATCGCTTCTAGATTACGGGGCAAGCCAAATTATTTCCCAAACTCGGACTTCAATTCCATTCCAGGTCTTGCTTCAAGTTTCATTCGCAGTTAACAGCAAGAACCTCAAGGACACCGCCATCATCGCCTCTTGTTCACTTGTCTAGAAATACCGCACTTCTGTTAAAGGCCTGTTGCCAAAATCGTTCTCAGGAACCAGAATCGCAGAACCCCTGGCATCAGGACACTTGCGCGTCCACCCTTTTGAGCTTTATTCTGGCAACATCACAAGAACAGTAACCATGGATGACAAAAAGAACGAAGATTATACCATCAAGATGCCCGAGCAAGATCTGCGAGCATTCAATGCCCCGCCCTCATCTCAGGTGCCTTTCACAGTACCCCGATCTCCTCGTTCAGCTAACAAGGCTGGATTATCTGTGCCTTCGAATATCACAAATAATCCTTCCCTTGCGATCCTGGCGTACTGTTTGGCATCGATATCTATGACTGTTACAAATAAGTTTTGTGTGTCTGGTCCCAACTGGAACCTTAACTTCTTCTATCTCGCAGTTCAGGTAATTACACCTGGGGGTTAACAAGCAACGAAGGACTAATTGACTGTTTACTAGTCTGTCGTCTGCATCATTGCTATCCTGCTCTGCAAGCAAGCTGGTATGATAACTAATCTGGCCGCCTTTGACTCCAAAAAGGCAAAAAATTGTAAGGTTCATGCGTCCGGAGAGATGGGATATGCTGATGCGCGTTAGGGTTTCCAATTTCACTCCTCCTTGTCGGAATGATTTATACTAGCATCAAGGCCCTGCAGTTCCTTTCCGTCCCCGTATACACGATATTCAAAAACTTGACAATCATTGTTATTGCATACGGTGAGGTGTTGTGGTTTGGCGGAAGCGTTACCCCCTCCGCCCTTTTCTCTTTCGGATTGATGGTCCTCAGCTCTGTGGTCGCTGCTTGGGCTGATATCCAGCACGCTCTATATGGGGGTACCGAGAACCAGTCCGTTGACGCTGCTGCGGCTCTTTCAACACTCAATGCGGGCTACGCTTGGATGGGAATGAACGTCTTCTGTACCGCTACATACATTCTTTCGATGCGTAAGGTTATCAAGAAAATGAATTTCAAGGACTGGGATAGTATGTTGGCAACACGCATATTGATGACAAAATACTAACCTTTTACAGCTATGTTCTACAACAACTTGTTAACGATTCCTGTCCTTTTCGTGTGCTCTTTCTGCTTCGAAGACTGGAGTCACTCGAATCTCCTGAAGAATTTCCCCGTTGAGGCCAGAAAGAGTCTTGTGGTTGGATTCATCTACTCAGGATTAGGCACGATCTTTATCTCTTACTGCTCTGCATGGTGCATTCGGGTTACATCGTCCACTACATACTCTATGGTTGGGGCTTTGAACAAGCTCCCTATTGCAGTCAGCGGTCTCGTCTTCTTTGCGGCACCAGTTACTTTTGGCAGTGTGTCAGCCATCATAATTGGCTTCATCAGTGGGCTCGTATATGCATGGGCCAAGGTGCAGCAAAACAACCAGAGCAAGGCCACATTACCAACCCACCAACCTGTCATGAGTGCAAGCTCGCAGAGCAGTCGAGATGCTTCAAGATCATAATACAGCCAAGCTTAGCTCGGCGCTTTTCCTTCGTCAGCACCACTCACGGTGTTCCCGATTCGACTTTAACGGGGCTTCCGATATTTAGAAAGACCTTTGAATAATGCTGCGCGCAGGCAACCCATCGCATTTTGATGGTCTCTATTCATGTATTATATTGTGTATTTCTTTTGTCCCGATGTGCATGTGCAGAAGCTTAGCAAGGGGGTCATCAGATTCTGAGGAATGCCGGATGAAAGCATGCTGGATAAACTTGGGCATCATTACTTCATGGCGTATAGAGGGGGCTCGCATGATGGGCTACGAATAATTGAGTCTAGACTACGAAAAACATATTTGGCATGTTCCGAGTATATCTACTTAATCTAGTTGATCTATTGGAGCGTGCTTGAGCCAGCTGCGACCCAAAAACTGAAAGTGGCATATTGGAATAAGATCTTACGAGTTTATGCGTGATTCTGATGCTATATATTGACATTGTGGCTTTAGGAATAAATTTCATAGGAAACTTTTTCCTTCAGCCTTCCAAGTTCGGTCTCGCCCAGTTAGCCAGGCACCAATCTGAAATATCCCAATAAAGCTAGCCCTGTTTTTGCGCTAGCGCTTGGCCTGTGCGTCACAAGGACTATAAATCAATAGCTTCCTCTTCGATGAATTTCTTTTCTTCTTCATACTTACCTTCTTGACAGTTCCGTAGATCAAGAATTACGGGCTGGCAGTGCGAGACCTCCATTGCACATCGGGGCGTCGAGAACTGTTGAATATCCTTCGGGGTCTTCATCGGGGGAATTTTTGATTGCATTCATGCTCTTGCATGCCTTCTTTTTTCATTGAGACCATAACTCTACGATATGGCTTGAAGAAGAAAACCCCTTTCCATGTAACTGCATTCGTTGCTTGCTATAATTAACGACGCTTTGATGCCAATTGTGGATGGTGCCTTAAAGCTGCTCTGTAAATTAGAGAAGTCAATAACACACCTCGGATGCTATGACGTTCAAGATCGCGCTATGTCGGTGAAATCTCGAAGCTTTTTGATTCATTATGAACTGATCCTGCTCAATGTACCACAAGCCATCTGTTTAATTTCTACAATGCTCATACGATAGTATATCTTTATCTTCATAATGCCGTCCACCGATATACCTGTAAAATCCGAGTCCTCGTAAGCCCCGCATCCCAAATACCATCCCACATACTTACCCTTCCAGCCTTTCTTTCACACAAGGCCTCCTCCTCGGCCAACTCTCTATCGTAATCCTCATCGGCGCCTTCATTAAATTCTTCATCTTCGGCGACCCTCCCTCCCCAGATGTTACAGCCGCCTTGCGTGCCACAGAACGACGTTCGCGAACGCTCGCACACAAACGTTCCCTCATCACCGTCCGCTCCTCCACGCCCCGTCACCCAACACAAACCCTCTCTAAAAAGCGTTCCTCCGTCCTCCGCAATCCTCCCCCTCTCACTACCAAGACGATCCTCAGCAAAACATACTATAACGTGGACAGCCATCAACCAGAGAGCTTGGACTGGTTCAATGTTCTGATCGCACAGACAATCGCACAATTCAGGAGTGATGCCCAGCATGATGATGCGATTCTTACGAGTTTAACGAAGGCGCTAAATGGGACGAGCCGCCCAGATTTCTTAGATGAGATTAAGGTCACGGAGTTAAGTCTAGGAGAGGATTTCCCGATATTCAGCAATTGTAGGGTTATACCAGTGGACGAGGATGGGTTCAGCTTTGGCAGTAGGTCGGAGGATGGAGGCGCTGGGAGGGAACATGGCAGGTTACAGGCACGCATGGATGTGGATTTGAGCGACTTTATTACATTGGCATTAGAGACGAAGCTCTTGCTGAATTACCCAAAGCCGCTGGTTGCCATCCTGCCAGTTGCATTGGCCGTATCGGTGGTTAGATTCAGC